TTCCTAACTGTCTCATGTGAATTACCTTTGACTTTACTTCTATCATGTTATGAGGTTAAATCAGAAACTTCAGACTCTTCAGTCAAGTGCTTTTGCTGTTGCTTAAGATTAAAAAAAAAAATCCAGCAAAGTAGAAGTTCACTGAAAAGGCAAAAATGATGAAATTAGCTGAAGAACCCTCAATTAGCTCCCAGGCAATAGATTTAGCTGAAGGAAACAGATAAGACAAACTAATGAAGTATCAGATTCCAGATGTTTTGTGTCGTAGCTGTTCACATAGGTATCCCAGTTGTCATAAAAATCTCCAAATTAACGATGTCATTAAAAGTGATGATATATGGGCCTTATGCATGCTAGGAAACTTTTCCAACTCAAATTCAGGATCTCCAGAGAATGGACTTGCATTTATACTGGAAACCACTGCTGCAACATCAAGGCCCTTGAAGTTGTATCAACTTCTGGTATTCAGTTTCCTGATTATACCATAACCGAGGATGCTAAATTAGAAAATTAAATAGCTGTCCAACACAAGCAATGAAATTCTAGCTTTTAATATAGATTTATAAGGCAGAATGGAAGCCCATCACAAGTATGACATAGATATGAGAATTTAAGTCCATTTTTCCTGGGAAAAAGAAAGCTGTACAAATACTAGACAGTTAGCTAGTTATTTATCAGCTAAATAATTTTTGATGGTCTCCACTAGAAGGAAAATTTTGTTTTATGTGAGACAGTCTTAGACACTGAACTTTCAAAATAGATAGTACTGGAAATAACGTGATTTAAGATACAGTAAGGCACCAGGTTCAGAGAAGTCATGAAAAAAGTCTGAAGAAATTTGAGAAGCAAGCGGCTGAACTCCTCATAATATACATAAAGAAACTCCATACAACTAGATGATAAGCAATAAAAGATACTGTAACATCAAAACTACTCAGAAAGAGTTTATGCAGTACTTGCATTAGTTTTTGACCCAAGTTGATAATCTAAAATTTTGATTTTGCCCTTTCTACAAGGGCATGGTGTAAAAGGATGGTGGTGGTAACTTAGAGATGTGCTGCTGAAAATACCAAAAGGACTTGATCTCTGATTTGCAGAGATGACACTGTAAAATACAGTCCTTGGTGTTGACCACTGCACATGGATTACTGTAGCCTGTGAACATGATCCAGGTACCTGAAAAGCAGTTGCAGGAGACAGGCCCTAGCTTTTTTTTTTTTTTTTTAACAGATTTTGACCCTAGAGTCCGGCCTAAACTGTTACTAAGGGTTAGAAGCTGCAGTGAAATTGTCAACAAAAGTACATCATTGGAAAGGATCTAATGTTGGCTGTTGCCAGAGTGTGGATTCTGGACAGGACAGATTCCATTGAGAAAGCTCTGCAATTCTTGTACAACTTCTGTATCCATACCAGACTTAACAGGCCCATTTCTGTATTATTTTCTGTTGATAACATGGAAGTTACTAATCACTTCCAACAGTACAAATTCTAATTTCTTTGACATTTTGATCTGTCATGACATTTTAAAGGCTACTGAGACTTTGCAGAAGACAGAATTAATTTTATCTCATGTTTGGTATCACAGGAGTTCCAAGGCATTTAAATGTGGATCGCATCAAGGAAGACTTGATGAAAATTGAGGATGTTTATTCTATAGAAGATTTAAATGTTTGGTCTCTCACTGCAGGAAAAACAACTGCCATAGTCCACTTGCAACTAGGTAAGCTGCTGGATAGCATAATTCTAAATTGAATCCAAGTTTAGGAAAAACCCCACCACTTCCTCTTCATATTGTAATTTAAACTGAATCAAGAAAGATAATTCTGGGGAAGGAAAATCTACTAACTCTGCTTTTGTACAGCAAGGAACAGAACACCTTGGCCAAGAAAGACATGGTGTAAATGAAAACTGTGCAAATAAAATACATTCATACCCAAATGTCCAATGCAGATTCTTTGGGTAGGGGAAAAAAAAACAACACAAAATTTCTCCTCATAAATTTTGTTAAATGTTTAGGGAAAAAGGGTGAAATTCTAATGTGGAATAATCTACATATGAAAAATAAATGTTTTGCCAAAACCTGTGCTGATTCAGACATCTAACTATACTATGAATATCAGTTCTTAGTAAGAGAGCTCAGGTTTTTGAGAGGAAAGTATCAGACATGCACGGAGTTCTATCAAGAGAGGTGTAAAATGATAGAGAGTACACAGTGACCACAAGAACAATATTAAATTAGTAAAGAGTGTGAGCGAAAATTATTCTCATCGGTGACACTGGGATAAGTTTGAGAACATTTGCATTGCTCAGGTTTCTTAAGGAGGGAATTTATTAATTCTTTTCTTTATTTTTCAGTTCCTGGTAGTTCATCTAAATGGGAGGATGTTCAGTCCAAGGCCCGGCAGCTGCTGCTGAACACGTTTGGAATGTACAAGTGCTCTGTCCAGCTTCAGAGTTACAAACAGGAAATGAGCAAAACCTGCGCGAGTTGTCAGAGTTCCAGTGCCTAATTTCTTACGTTTTGGGAACTGCTGCCTTATTCTTTACCTTGTGTAGTCAAAGACTGAGAGCAATAAATGCAAAATGAAAATTATCCAATAGTAACCATTCATATGTGGATTTGTACCATGGGACATGCAGCAGGGAGAACTGGTGCTGCAAAAAGTGCAGTGGTTGCCCTACAGAACGTGTATTTCACTCTCCGTCGTACTGGTTTGTTCAATTTATTATGATTTTGAGACAAAGCTGGTTTTGGATTATTGTTTACAAACTGGAACGTGGCTCTGCAGATACCTCACAAATTACAGTCCAATATTGTCCTTTAAACATTATGTACCACAAAGTACCTGCACTCCAAAAGGAGCGTCAGGTATTCAGTATTTCACTCAAAAGTCTCTAAAGCTGATCATACCCGGGTTGCACAATATATCATGATCCCCAAATTCATGATTCAGTATTTTTGCAATAGTAATTTTCAGACAGTATCTCAAACTATTAACACATACATTAAGTTGAATTCTCATGGAAACTGTCTCTTTGGAGACAGTGCAAAACACAGAATTTACTGGACCCAGACCAGAAAGTTAGCTTTAATCTGGGCATTCAGAGATCCAGACAGGAAGATCCTTGCCCAGACTTCTGGTATTTATCTAGAGACCCAACACTGGACCCAAAGTGTTTTAAGTGATCAGTTATCTTTAATGTGTTTTAGAATAGGATTTATACATTAGAAACAAGTTATTTATTTTACAAAGTTTTGACTTGTAAGAGGAATTTATTATTAATAATCTTGAATGTCTAAACCATCATTTGATTCACATTAAAAGGCCAGTTGATTAGCATGCATTCTAGTTGTAATTAATAAATGTCCTGTAATTGATCATTTTTTCCATATTGTTTTGTTTTAAAAGAAAAGTCAAATGATAGAAGTGATACTTGACTTGGAAATCCTCTCAAATGCAATCTACAGATATGTGCACCTAACAGGAAAGTGGGGAGCAGAAGTTTTAGACGTGCACAATTCCATCCATCACAATCTCTGACCTTTTCATCTTTGCTTTAAGCACAGCATGGTAGCATCCTGTCAGGAATGCCACTGTGATAGCAGTTCCCACTACTTAGCTTATGGATAAAGCAAAATCCAATCAAGCTCTGTAACCTAAAGGTGTTGGACAACAATATCATAACAGCCTGGAGCGGCAGAAAGGTCCTTCTGTATTTGCAGAGAGGAGGCAACCTGGAAAGACTCTGTGTTCATCTGGACAGCTCAGAGTCCACAGAGTGGAACTGTTTGGCTTCATTGTGGAACCCCTGTATTTTGAATGTACCCAAGATGATAAATCTTTTCACTAAGCTGTCATACACCTACAAGCCCAGATTTAACCTGCTTCTGACGGCCCTGGCATTCAAGAAGCTAAGGACAGCAAGAACGTGACCTACGAAGTTCAGAAGAGGGCAAGAACTTGGCTTCAAGTATTTTTTTGTTTATTCTGTACTTCCACTTATGCAGAACTTCCACTGACATGAAAAGTAGTTCTCTGTGTGGATCAGAAAGGAAAACTTTTGCCCAGTTATGGTTATTGTGATATTCAGCTGTGAATATTTCAGCTATTTTCTGTTTTGAAACTCACTAGGGTTTCACACTTTCATAAGGCTAATTTGTATCTGCATTTGGTGGTAACAATTTTGGCTTCTTTTCTTCCCTTTTTGGAGGTAGGGGTCACATGATGATTTTTTATTGATGAAAGCAGACAGCACATTGAGAATCTGGACAAAGTGCACATAACACCAGACTGTGTTTGTATCTGTTTGGGCAGGAAGGAGGAACACTGGTGTACAGCATGGGAGCATGTGCAGCTGAAAAGCACCACTGTGCTTGGGAAGGTAATGCTGCAATACAAACACTATCATTAATTAAGCCATATCACAGTTCATGAAAAATGTGCATCCCATCATTACAAACTTACTGGCAAAAACCACAAACAACAGGTATTTTGCACATACTAATGCTCAAATGGGTTTTAATTAAATTGGGGTTTACAGTTGATGTAATTAGATGTTGAAGTACAGTAGAAATGTATTGTATTGGCAGTTTTTTAATAATTTAGTATACATTTGTTTAATTGAAGAAAAAAGGTGTGTTGTTTTATTGTGGGTTTTATTAAATCGATTATTAAAGTTCACATTGTCTTATAAAATATTTATTTGTATTTCATCAAATTCTTACAGCAGTCTGATACTTAGGGCAGCTGTGTTTTGAAATGTCTGAATACTCAGCTTTAAATCAGTTTGCAGATGCTATACAGAGAATTAATTAAGTCTCTATCTTTAGTCAGAACAATTTAAGACTTGTGATTTCACATGCAATAATTACACTTCAGAAGGTATAAGCTGACAAAGTATGGTGAAGGATCATCATAAAGCAACTGGCAAAACATTCCTGAAACCCTGCATTCACCCTGAGGGGCCCTTGTTACCAAGGACTGGAAGTTCAGAGAAGAGGCAACAGAAGACAAAATGAGAATAAAGAATAAAAGAATCAGTAAGTTTTTGTAGATACTCCAAGATTGTTTTCAGTATCAGCTTAGAGAAAAGGGGCATTATTATAAATAAGGTTTCATGTTTTTCCAAGCCAGATTATTTAATATGGTTAAGATAGTTTACACACTCTTACACTATTCTTTTCCTTCTAACAAATGCTCTGCCTGAAGTGAAAATGCATATACTTGACAGAACTTCTTTCTAAACAAAAAACTTCCGAGATCCAAGCAGGTTTCCACAACCAGTATCCCTGGTTTTCAGAGCTGTGGTCGAATGCTCTTGCTGACTGAACAGATGAAATCCTGAGAAAATTTTGCCACTTCTGAAAGTCCACATTGGGAGAAGGTTTTTCCTTTCTAAATCAGTGATTGTCACCCATCCTCTTCTGAAGCACAGATACAGTTTTGATGACAACCTACTCATATGAGTCAATAAAACATCTTCATATGAGTAGATTGCAAACCCTCACATCCTACTCTTCCCTTCTCAAGTGTTCTTATCCTAAGAAGAAAATTAGTAGAAACATATTTTGTTTCTGAATGTTTTCCTCGCCTAATTATGTGGTTTGGTTTTTGTTTTTAATTGTGTTGACATTTTGTCTTTTCAATACCAGCAGCATTTCTTTCTTCACCAGCAGAATTACCATTTAAAATGTCATACTTGAATCTGGTCTTCAATTATCTCACTACTGTACATATCTGCTATTTCTTGCAGAATCACTCCCAAGTGGCAGAGTGACTCAGAAAAGCAGAAGGCTGGCATTTAAAAGTAATTTTCTGACATAGAAGGAAAAACCCCAGAAGACACCCATCAAGTAATGAGTGGCAAGGATTCTGTTCAGGTGTTTTGTTGGGATCTCATGAAGACACTGCACTGATGCTGCACAGGGCAGGGCTGTTAAAGCATTATTTCTCTCTACAAATAAGTGTAAGTGTAATAAACAAAGATGGCTTATTGGGTAAAAGACATGGTACATACTGCAGCAGCTTCCTAGTCCAATAAACTAATCCATTGCCAGAGAAGAAGTTCCCTTGAGTTCTCAAGAGAAGGAGACAATCCCCTGGAAGTACCCAGCCCATTTCCCTCTACCCAAAAGAGCATTGCCAAGGTCTTTATTCTTGCTGATTGCTCCAAACACATTGCTCCAAACACATTTGGTGAGCACACGTAGCTCAATGTCATGTTTCACCAGCTCTTTGCATTATGCCACTGCTCTCAGCTTCCCTCTCTATTTTCTTGCCATATTCTGTCCTCTCCACAGTTTCATTAATAATGTCCAGCTCACACTCTGGGCACCTGCTGCTTACAGGGTCACCAGGAGTTTCTCTCACTGCACCAGGGGTGGAACACACCCCAAGAACAGTGCTGTTCAAATACAGGCCTGCCTTTGCCCTAAGGTCATTTCCTCTTTGATCAATAAAATAAAAATAAAGCCTTCTAACCAAGCTGCTAATTCATAGGAAAGACCTATTCTGAAAGCCTCTAGATTCCTTTTCTACCATAAAAAATATAAATGTCCTCCACATTAAAAATATAAATGTCCTCCACCCTTAATTCTCTTCCCAGTTTCATCCTCTCCTCCCCTCTATAACAAATCATGCTGGGCATTGACAGTCTCTGTGCTCAGGATCTGGAAAATCCCCTACTGGTCTACTCTTCTTATGCAATTTTCCAGAGCTGAATGCTCTAGGAAGGACCCTACATGCTCTTTAATTCTTTCAAATCCCTGACACAACTTTGGAAGCTACTAGAATAAATATGGATCCTTTCCATTTACTGTTTTGCAGCCACCACAGCAATCTGCTCTTAAAACACACGTGTAGCTGCCTTCTGTGTGTAAAGCTGTAAAATGATGATATCCTCATCATTATATTTGCTCTTTTGAGTATTTTTGCTCTTTTATCTCTATTTTCCTTTTCTACATTGTCTTCTCTCAGTATTGCACAGTTTGAAAGCAACTGGTGCTAAATATGCAGGTTAAAATAACTGCATTTATTACAGCTTTTAACTGAAGCATTTACACCTTTTATGGCATCAATTTATGCCAGGAAAAAAGCAAGCCATTTCATAAGCAAAATATAATTTTATCCTTAAGATGACTGTTTCATGATTGCCTTATACATGGTAAAAAGATAAGTTGTTTCTCCAGGACCATTATCAGCCAGTAAATGAATCAGCGTTGTCTGTATAGAGTGTGTCCTGCATTGTTTTACATAGTAAACTAATACATACAGGGATTTTTAGTTCAGCTGATGAATAAACAAAAGGACCCAGATGGCAAGCAGACTGCATTTATCCCAGGAGTATGAAAAGCACCCAAGTCCCTGCAATCTTTCTATTTCTTTTCCCAAAGCATACACAAAGAAATTATTTAATAAATTCCTAAACAAACTGATTAAATATGAACTTATAAAACTAGTCACCTAAGTCTAGTATCTGGCCTTTTAATTTTGAGAAAAACACTGTAAACAAACACTTTCATAGTTAAGGCGGTGCTCTATAGTTCATCGCAGCATACAATTATTCTGCATTTTTTACAGATTTCTCCTGTTCCTGTTTCCCCTGAGAGAACAAGTCAAAGGCTCCCCTCACCTGGTTGCCTTCCAGGCCGTTCCCGGCTATTCCAGACGATGGCGCTCCGCTCCCAGCGTTCACGAAGAGCTGCGGGCTGAGGAGAGCCACGGCCACTCCCGCTGCCAAGGGAATACATTCTATTGCACATCCTAGAGAGGTCTTATGAGTGAGTAAAGAAACAGCAACACAACTCCAAAACACTCCTGCCTCCCCTAAAATAAACCCCCACCAAACCCTCTTATTTTTTCCTAAAAAAACCACAGGGGATTTATCTTTTTAATAGATGCAATAAGGAAAAGCACAAACCTAGCACAGACTGCCTAATCAATTACTGGGAAGGAGTTTAGACACTTTTTGAAGGCATATATGGGTAAATACCATGGAATGCATGCTCTAGTGCTTTCCTCCAGAAAAGGAGGAAAAGAAAAATTTTTAAGAAAAAAAATCATAGGAGTAGAAATTAGTTGAGGGTACAGATATCTAAAATGTAAGTAGATTATATTAATTAATATTAATACGTAACAAGGTAAGTTATGATGCAAGCCCTTTGTTTCTATGAAAATAAGTATTTCTTCTTTAGGGTGCTGAATTCATGTTTCCAGGACAACAGATGATTCCATCTGAAACATTCCTGATTGTGCTTCTTTCTGAAGAATCAGAGGGCACTTTCAATCAAAAACATAAACTGAGGGAAACAATTTTGTTTCAAACTAGGCAGGTACAATTATAAATAACAAATATTGTTGTGTTTACATTCTGCAACTGCTAGTACAGTGGTGGTTTTGGATTTAGTAGAACAGAGTCTGGAGAGAGAAAATACAGATGAAGGAGGTTGATGAACTTGGACCACAACATCCTTCCAGTAAAGTCTTCTTTAATTTCTTTAAGCTATTAAGCAATTCTGTATTTTCTAAGCAATTGCAGAAGAGACACACCTTAAACTGGAAACAGAAATTGCCCAACCAGTTACACACTGGTTTCTTTCTATTTGCTTGAAACAGAACCTAGATGGAATAAATGAGGATGGTTTTCAAGCAACCTAGCTTCCTCAATTTGTCACAGAGCAAAGTTCAAGTCATATAATAGAAAAATCAAAGGACAGTAACTCTCTGCTTATCAAATGTTAAAGGTTCATGGGCAGTTAGCTGTAAATGAAGATATGTTTTAGATGTGAACAGCTATGCAGGATATCTCGTTACATTAACTCTATTAAGTGTCTTGGTAAAGAAGCAATGAAAGCAGAATATTTTTCTTCCACAGAAAGTTCTTACTACATCTGAGATTGCTCTGAGGATCAAGAGAAGAGCTAGTTCCTAATTTGAGCTGTCAGAGCTAGAAGGAGGCTGCTCACGGAGCTGGAGTAATAACAAAATTAAACCCTACTAATCAGCCCCCCACCTGCTATGGCTAAGTAGGGGTATTCATACTGCAGGGTTGTTTGCATGACTTTTTAAAAATTTCTTTTTAAGAGTTCATGTTTTGTTTATGATACAAGGTGTGTTCGTGTACAAAAAAAAGAAGGAGGGAAGAAAACACAAAGCCAGGTCATGTGGGTAGTGCAGATAGCAACTGGGAAACACTAGACTCCATTACACTACCATGCAACCAAGTATGGAACATACTGCTGTATCTGGAGCAAATTGTGGATGGTCAGAAATGAAATCAATACCAATTTCCTTTACAGACTGCAGCATAAATTGATCTGTTGTGCAGTTCAACTAAGACATCTGATGGCTTTACAGTCCTAAACAAGGTACGTTTTACCTGTCTAGCCCACACCAAAAACTTTCATTACTGTATGAAAAAAAGAATATTGGAGTGTTGCCCCCATCTCCCTTCTTTGTTGTGTTGCCATACTTTCTTTTATCTGTTTAGCGAAGAAGAAAAAAGCCCAGTAGATAAAGAACTTCAGTTAGCTTTTGCTTTTTGAAACTGATTACACTTCATTTCAACAAATGTTCCATAGCTACAGCAATACCCTGTGCTGTTCTATTCCTTAAGGAATGCAGGTGGCACTGCCAGCCAGACAACTGTGAGGATTTCTAAAAGCAGATAGGAAGGTCAAACTCTTTGATTCTTTATTGAGGGAATCCACCTATGACTTGGGTGGTAATTCTGTTTACTGTGCCCTTTACACCTACTGAGAAGTGACATTCTCAACAGCATATCCTCAAACACCAACTTCCCTGTAACACCCTGTTTTGTGTAGTGGAAACACCTCCTCTGTGAACTAACAAAAATACAGGAACTTGAGCACAGACATGCCCAGTTCTTAAATGTTTTAATTTTTCTTAAGAGAGAATTTTCAAAAAACACATACTAGTACACATACACAACCACTGCAAACTTTACTGTATTAATTCCATGCCTCCCTGAAATCAGCATAAAACATTCACCTAACTTCAAACTAATGGTTTTTCATCTACTTTGTAAAACATGCTATGGTAACATGGACATTATGGGCAAGAGTTGGGCAATGAGGCAATGACTAGAACTGCAAGTCATTGTGACTGGGATTGTGCTGTGGATTTCTGCTTTAGGGAGTAAGGTGGATACTGCAGTCTTCAAGATGAATTAATTTTTTCTGACCATAGCATCTTTCATTCAAAGCATTTGCCAAGAGGAAAACTAAACACAGTAATGGCAGCATAATGCTAATATATTTAATAATGCTAGCAGCATGGGCAGCATAGTGCTAACAGTCTTCAAAAAATATTTAGTCTTTACTGAATTATAAAAGAGGTCACAGCAGAAGGGAAGGATGCATCATTAAATGAAACAATTTTAACAGCTTCAATAAAAAAAACACACTTCCCTTTCTTTTAATGTAGTGAATTGGTGATTTATTAGCAGTAGATGATTGCTTTTCTTTGGCAAACTGATAAGATTTTTCTGTTGCTACCAGGGATCAGAACTTTCTGCATTTGCTTCCTTGTTTGTGCAGCAGCAGCATCAGATAAAGGATGGTGTTTATTAGTTACCTGCCTATTGGAAATACATTTGATTCAATTAAAGAAGTGACAATCAACAGGTGATGAAGAATGTGATAGCTTTGCTGAAGTTGAAAGCATAAACACATTTATTTACATGCAAGAAGTTTTTCAGACTTGTGTGGTTTTTCTGATCTCTCAGATAAAACAGAACTTTGCAATGAAAAATTCACAATGTCCAATACTGAAAGAGGAAGGGAAAGAACTCCAGCTTTTCACTGACATTATGCTGTTGACAATCTCTGTTATGATCTGTTGGGAGGTTCCTCATTTACACCTCACACAGCATCAGTGCTTTCTGAAGATAAGATACAGTTCTGTGCAGAAGGCTGATGCAGTCCTTGAGCCCAGAGTCTACCTCTAAAGTACCACACCACACTTGTCTCATGCCAAATACTGTAAAAATGAGTCAAATGATAGAATGTAGCTTGAAAACCAAAGAGTTCTACAGAACTGGAACCACAAAGTGGGATGCAGGTGGCTCTGCCTTGGGACTGCATGATTTAATGGTTTAGGATTTTGACAGGATTGCTACAGAGCTCTGGTCCCTATAGTCTATTTTTAGTGCTGTATCCTAATGACTTATCCTCTAGAGTCTCTAGATTCTCAGTTTACCATCATCTGGTAACAGCAATGTCTGTGCAGAATTCCCATGCCCTTCAGCAGGGAAATCTGATTATAAAATCAATGTCTGTAATAGAAGTCCCAAGTTCAAGAGCTATCATCTCCTCCCCCTGCTTCAGCAACACTTGGGGTCAGTGAAGTCAGCAAATCTGGCTGAGGGAGAGCTAAGGGAGTTTGAACTTACAGAAATTATGCCTTCTAATTACTCAGAAAATACACAAATGAAAAAAAGCTGTTTCACAGCTTCTGTCTGGACTGCACAATCTGTCAGGCTACAGGAATCACTGTGATTTATAGGATTAAAAACTGCCAGACCACTTCAAGTTTGGCGTTCCAGAACACAAACAAATTATTTTACCATTTACTTGCAAAGAAACAACCAGATGAACAGAATTTCAGTAACAGAACAGCCCTCACTCAAAACAAAAGATATCCAGATAGAAGTGGGTGAGCAAGATCCTCCCATATTATTAGCAGATATGGCCCTTGTTTTTCTGCAGCAGCATAATTTAGAGAGAGTTTTCAGTGGAATGGACCCTGTCTACCAACATCATGTAAATTTGTTAACAAATTCAAAGAAAAAATGCAAATGTTTTTATGTGAGTCCGTTGAAAGATAATGCATGCTTATGTTTATGGCTCAAATTTGTGCTTCATCTGAATTTTAACAGATGCTCACAAGTACTTTTTAAACCTTATGGAGAGATGGTCACAAAAGTGACTTGCTTTATCTTAAAAACGTTGCATGATGAAGTCTTAAGTTATTTACACGGACATTTTAGGGAATGTTACACAGATTCAAATCTTGGCCATGAGCAGCAGAAGTGGTATTGCCAGCCAGGACAGGAGCACACCTGCCAGCCCAGCACCCCAGCCCTGGCTCCACACACAGAGCAGCCAGCCGGGACACCCAGGACACCTCCAGGGACTCCAGGCACAGCCCTGCAGTGTCACAACCCTGAACAGAGGCCATGGAGCCGGCCTGGCGCACCAGGCCAAACCTTGGAAGTCTTAAAGGTGAAAACAACACCAAACCAAAGCCTTTGTCATGCCCCTGTTGCTAAGAGATGAGGGTTTATTTAAACTAATTTGGTAACCTGGCAGTGAAGGCCAGCACTAGCCTATATCCTGATACCCAGACCAACTGTCTCCAGGGCTCCCAACTAGTGTTCTGCCACCCCCACTCTTACACCTTGCTCACATGGCCCTCAGTCCCCAGCCAGGAACCGTGGTGATGCTGCAGGACAGCTCTCACTTGTTGGGGTGAAATCTGTTCCAGGCCCCAGGCTCCCTGTGTTGTGAGGGGCTCTCCCACATCCTGGGTGAGACCTGAAGGGCAACACCTCCCCAGTAATGGCTCAGAACAACACAACAAAATTATCTAAAAGTAAATGCTAATTGAACTAAACCCCTTGTTCATCTGGGCGAGGTCCAGCACAAATAGGGTTGGCACAGCCTGGGTGAGGGTGTGTGATCTTTGGCCAGGGCGAGGCACACAGGCAAAGGTGCTTTGGATGCGGTGTCAGCTCACGGCTTCGCAGGGGCCGTTACTGCGACGGCTGCTTCCCGATGGAGAGCTTTGGGCAGACAAGCTGCCTGCTCCCTGTTCACATCAGCACCTGAGGGGCAACACTCACCAAGTCCAACCCCAGTGCCCCAGGCCAAGCCAGCAGTATTGCTTTTATTTCTATTTCAGTTACACTTTTTATACTTTTTACGGGATTTCACTGTCTGTATGCTCCCGTCCGGCATGTGGATGTGCTGGACAGCAAAGGCTTCAGACAGCAAAGGAAAACCATGCCAGCCATGTTTGTTTAACCTGAAAGCTTTTTCAGAAGTGTCCAACACCAAATATTGGCTGGATTCAGTGAATCATTCCCATTACTCCTGTTTGTTTTCCACAGCTAGTCCTAGGGACAGCCACTCTCTGCGCTAAGGCAGACAACAACTGCAGGATGAACCATTTCCTCCAACAGTTGCATCAGCCCCCTCTGTAAGTTACTATTTTCTGCAGAAAGCCACCACTGAAGTAACCAGACAGTGCAGAACTACATTAATAGCACCTTGTGGCAGAGAAATGCAGGGGGTCACAAGGAGAAATGCTAACACTGGGGCTATCACATGCAGAAACAAAAATCCCCAACGCAGCTCTCTGATAACCACACCACCACAAGATCTGCAGATTAAAGGCCTTGAAGTACTACTGTAATAACAAAAATTAGCAATTCATTGTATATACATTGCAACAAGCAGTCTTCTTCTGTTCTTCCAGAAAGCTATTTACATATGGGCTACTCAGAAAAATTTAGAGAAGCATGACCGTAGATTGTAATGATGGATTTCTAACAGTGATTAGAACTATTAAAACACATTTCTAATGGTATCTAACCTATACTGGAAACCCTAACAAACTAGTGGCCATTTTTATTAATCTTCATAATTAACAGGAAATTTGGAAGTTATATAGTTCCATATAAATGTACTAGCTAGGGTGAGCAAAGACAGTGGTTGTTAAAAAAAGCCAACATCAACCAAATCAAATCCAAGAATAGAATGGAGTGGGAGACTAAAGAGAGCAAAGGAAATAGAGAGAAATAAGGAAGTTGTTAAATTATTTCAATAGCCTTTAAATTGTTCGTGGAATTAAAATTAATGGGTTTGCATGACACAGATTAGGGAAGTCATACTGTTCTCATAAACATCAGCTCATAAAATTCAACCAGTTGAATCTTTACTGTTTGTAGAACAAGGAAATAACCTGTACATTGCTTTATAGATTTATGTTGAGTAGCTGATTGGGGAGACACAGTAATTGCTCTTGGTTATGCTACTTATGAGAAAAAACCCTCTATGCAGGAGACAGATTTTTAGGGATAGTCAGAGAAGACACAAAACCCAATAGCTTTAACAACATTCATAACCTTTTTGAGCTGCCAAAAAAAAAAAAAAAAAGTTGATTTCTTATATTGTGTGAAAACCCTCCCCAAAAATCTGTATTAATAAAGAAAACCAGAACAGCTTACAAAGCAAAACAGTTTTATTACCAGAGCTGTTATGCTTCAGGACATGATAAAAGAAGCAACAACCTGTGACTGACAGCAGTCACACTGCTTAATGTGCTACTGGAAACATCACTGAAATGTGGCTGAATACAAAAATTAACTAAAATTTACTTACACTTATTTTCCCAATGTTGACAGATATTTAGGTCATAGTATTTGCAGCCAAAAAAAGTGACTTACTGAAGAACAAACTCAATTAATGCATCAACTCAGGGCAGGCACAGCACTTTGTTTTTGCTACAGTCCAGTAGAAATATGGAAATACAGAGAAATATTTTAAAAGATTTTCTGTTTTAAAATACTTAAAACTTCATCAGAGCTCTGTATTTTTGTGGTTCTATGCTATTCAATCTTCTTGTAATGTCATTCCTTAAATGCAAGCTAAGGACTTATTCTGAAGACTACTAGTTCCTCTCACTCTAAAACACTAATGCTGCTGAGTCATCCTTACTAGATAAACAAATATTTATGCAACATTTAGATTATTTTTTTTCCTCAGCTGAAGAAAACAGCTTCTGAAGCCAAGCTACCTTGGAATTCAGGAGACAACTTTTCTAAATGAAATTTGTCTTTGCTGCAGTAGAATAACCTAAAGCACTTGACTATTACTCATTTAAGGGGACTTTTCTCAATTAGCAGCTGTTTCACTTTTGGTTTCTTTCTCACAGAAAGGATTAGGAGTTCTTACCATCCATTTTAAGAGGAACTGTGGAATAGATTGAGAAACTGCTTGGAAGAGGGCACATACAGAAAATACCTACAAAAGGACTGTTCTGCCATTGGATGCATGTCTCATGATTTTACTGGGAACGTGCCCATTACATTCTTTCCCAGCCAACCCATAAGCAAACAAACACACAGAAGCTTAAAGAAGAACTGTCTCTTCATAATCATTCCTAATTTTAATCTCTTTGTTTCTATTTGATAAGAGACATATTCCTAATAGCACGTAGAAATCTTTAAAAACATTGTTAATTGTGCAGTACATTGCAGCTTGCACTTGAACAACCTTGCACAAAAAGAAGAAATCTACACTGTGTAGTTTTGGATAATGCAGATTTTCTAATTCTAGTACCATCAAAAAATTTAATCATGAACAATATTAAATACAAAAGAAATTACCTGATTTTCATTTCTTTTCTAGCCATGCTTAACTCTTAGGTTTTGAGGTTCTAAATCTGCAGTCTCAAATAAATCCTTAAATAACCTATTGGACTCCTCAATGGATAAGTTTCAGTATTTGCAGCACAACATTAGTTTTGACTTAATCTAACACAGACAAGGAATGCAAGTGTACTGCATGACCACATATGCTGCCATACAAAGACATCCTCTGGCTATGACTTTGGTCTCTATATAACATTGAAATACAGAATAGAAAGGAAGGAGACCAGGAATTCCAATTTAGAAAAGCTTTTGGGCAATTTACATGAAATGTATAAACTTAGAATTTATTTTATTAAAAATGAGTAAAATGGCAAAACTAATGTATTTTGAAACAAATCCTGAAATTCTACAAAAACTATGAAGGATTTTTTGATCCATAATTACCATCTGAATACTCAAAAATTTACATCAAATCCTTATTGAAAATTACTATTTTGAGTCAGATTTTTGGACTATGTGGATGCCGTATGCCAGTTTCTAAAGCAACATGAAACTCCTCATCCAGAGTCCAAAAAAATGTAGGGAGACCCTAAAAATGTAGCAGAAGCATTTCCGCACACTGATTTCAGTAGTCAAGTTTGTGCAGAAATGATTCCACTAGATTCATAGGGTACCTTTTTGAGGCAACAGAAACTTCTCACTTCGTAAGCTTTTTGACCTCTTCCAGCTCCTCTATAGGTCGCCACTGCTGACTGATTGTTACCAGCTGGAAGGAATGGAAAATATGGAAGTTAGTAAAATCCCAGTGAGCATCTCCTCCACTCCCACACCTCCCCATATCAAACATCAGCTTATTGCTGAAGAAGTTCTAGTGGCTTTACATCTTCCTTTCAGAAATATGCAACAGATGACATAATAATTTGTTGAACAAAATCACTAGGATATTAATTAAGTAATCATGCCAAATAATTTTATTTTTCCTTATCCTAAGTGCTCTTATAAACTAAGATATTTTTCCTCCAGGCTACAGTACTTAAACATTCTTATTCAATTCTGTGATTCAGGAACAAGGTAAGGGTAAACAGCACTTCCTCCATACTCCAAGTTTCCACTGTTATCAATGGAATTGAGTAAATGGATGTTTGGGGTGGGAATGGACACAGGACAACAACCAGAAGTATGGTATGAATGTAGGATCAGACCCACAGTGTAGGAGATCCCTACCATTAGCTAATAGGGTGAAGACATAAAGTAATGAATGAAGCATTTGTGTCCACATCAACTTTACACTTGTTCTCGCATTCATATTTTGCTAGTTCTTACACAGGAAAGAAGTGATTCATTATGTTGGAAATTTATGCTATTTATACATACATTATATGTACAAATTACCTTCTGAGGCTTGGCAGGATCAATAGTTTCCCATGGTTCTGAACTGCCAATCTTGTGAATGCTTTAAAAGAAGATAAAACAAGTATTATGTTTTAAGGTGTGTCCTTGAACATATTTTCATGAGCAGCCTATTGTCAGTAGAGCTATTCACTTTAGTAAGGAGTTCCCTAAAGCACAAATTTAGAGGTTTGGGCACTACATTTTAAAATCTGGATAGGAATCAATGACGGGTTGCTTTATTTGCAGCTTCCAAAGCACCAAGCAAGCCAGCACTGCCCACATATCATTGTGAGGGAAGCAAGCTGAAAAATCAAAACTGAGTAAAGACCAAAGTAAGGGGACTTTTACCCCAACAGTTAAAATGCATACTCCGATCACTTTAAAATGAATATATAAACCCCCAAAACCTTTAAGAGTATAGGATTGGCTCAATTTATCAGCCAAGCCATTGGAATACTATCAAACACTGCTCTTTACATACAAGTCAATAGCCTGGTTGCAGTATATATGGATCTCATTTACCTATATGATTATATAAAATTCTTGATTAGAACATTTAAAACTTCTTATACCTAAAGCAAAGAAAAAACATAATTATTAAATCAAAAGTTAGGAAATAACTTGGACTACACTCCAAATCAATTAATTTCCTCACTATTTACAATCTGCAGATACTTTAGTTATTATCAGTACTCAGTACTCTCCTAGTACTCTGGTACATGTGTCTGGCGCCTTTTTTTTTTTTGTTTTGTTTTGTTTTTTTTTTTTTGTTTTTGTGTGTGTGTAAAACATGATGGTCAAATACTTGGTTCAATAAAACAAGTCAGGGTAAGCTCCAAACAATAAGTTTTTCCTTACATCACATCAGATTTGCGGAATAGTGAATAGACACAAAAAGAGAACGCCCCAGCTGCTGCCAAGGACAATATTCCGGCCAGGGGAATGAGCTGAAAAACAAAACAGAGAAAAGAGCTGATCTTATGTCCCAGCTACAGACCCACGAACAGGGGGAGCAAGGGTTACACAGAACTAGGCAGGGATTACCTGTTCCTCTACATTATCTCTATATTACTCGTTACACCACTTAACTTTTAATATGCGAATTTCACTTTTACCTCTACGTTACCCTCCTCCACACCTCACTTTTAATACATGAACTTTACGCGGGTCCCATTTCCTCGGGAAATCAAGTGGCATCCTGGTGCAGCCGCCCGAGCCCCCCGCATCCCTCCCCGCGGGCGGGTAACCACGGCCCCGACCCCTGAGGCAAACTCACTTCTCTTTTCGTTTTAAGCGTGTGCAAGATGCCCTTGTTCATGCTGGCGGCTGCGGAGCGGCTCGGGCTCTGGGCGCTCCCCGGCCGGGGCTGGAGGTGCCGGCGGGCCCGCCCCGCGCTCTTTGAGCCCCGCGCCCTGAGGGGGCGGGACAGCGCGCCCCCCCGCGGCCGGCGCGGAGCGGGCCCGCGGGCCGGCAGCGCCCCCTGCAGGTGCCACAGAGCGGGACGCGGCCGGCGCCCTTCCCGCGCCAATCCTTCTCTCTCCGGGACTGCAGCGCTCCAGCCTGGCTTCTCCACTTCTCCTTTGTCCTCTTGTCTGCCCCCTTCTCCAGGCAGCTGCCCAAAGAACAGGGTATCTAGGCAAACGCCCAGGTGAGAACAGAGCCTGCCTCTTCAGAGCTCGCCGAGGTGCCTACGGTGACCAAAAGAGGAGCCCGGTGGCACCATGTCCCCTCGTGCTGCAGCAAAAGCTCAAACCAGGCCCAGGTTCTCATCACTCTCTTGTGTTCCACAGCTCCTATCACTTCCCAGTATCCCTGTCAGAGAAAAACTGCCGGGGCAGGCTGGAGGTGAGAGCAGGTGACTCCCGTACATTGGTTTCTCCCCTTCTCTCTTGCCCGCTGGAAAGCAGCGAGAGGAAGGAGAGGCTGCCTGTACTGCAGGTTCTGCTCGCTCCCTGCAGCAAGAACAGACGAGACAGGGCACAAGCAGCTCTGCTGGTCCTTCTGGGGAAAAAGTGTGGAAATGAGGCAGCAGCATTCTTGAGGAGCTGGCAGCATCTTACTGTAACAACTTTGAGATCCAGCAATTCCAATGGAAACCCTCAAACACTGGGAAGCCAAACAGACAGTTTTCTCAACACTGCTGCTGAGAAACCTTTGTGTATTTGGGAAGGTCATGAGCAACAACTTTGAGATCCAGCAATTCCAATGGAAACCCTCAAACACTGGGAAGCCAAACAGTTTTCTCAGCACTGCTGCTGAGAATTTGGGAAGGTCATGAGTACTGTCTATTTGTTTTATACCAGTAAAGCTACAGGATGGTCCTTTCTATAAACTGGTGATGAAAGCCAAGCTGTAGGCAGTTGTTTGTATCTGAACCCTTTCCTAGGTTTCAACAGCTTCTACCACTGCCTTTTGCCTTCCTCAGCCACCAGCTGCCTTGGAACTTCCTTTTGTCATCCATCTCACTATAAACCACACTCAGTGCAGTCCCTAGTGTGCCTGTTGTGAGAGAGAAATATTTGTTAATGGGCTTATAATTTCTGAACCTCAGCTAAAATAACTGTCTTTGACAGTGGTGTATTTTGTTCCCAAGCATTTTCACTGGGAAAAAGAAAAGGTAATAAAAATAATAAAAACCTTCCTACTCTAGTAAGTTAAAATGCACACTTACATACACGTAATACCAATTTCCTTAGAAGTATCTGTGTATTTTAGAAGGCAACCTACAAAAATGTATTGACAAGAAATGCCTGGGTGGGGAAAATAATTCTGCAGAAATTGTCATTATGCAAACTCCCTCTTCTAAAGAAGAAATTATAACTTGAGTTGATTACATACTTGGTATCTGCTTACTCAATCCAAATGTTTGTACAGTAAGCAGTAACTCATTTAAAATTACTCCCAAAACCCCTGACATCCAAACGAACACCAAGGAGTTAAGCACTGGCAACCCTTTCACTGCCACTGTATTTTGGAATCTGCTTGTAAGAATGTAAGCCTAGACAGGCACATGTAAAACACCTTACATTTTATATAGGGTGGGACTTCTTCCTATTTAACTTCCTGACAACTTTTCTATTTCTTACATATTTGCTGTCTTTTGGAGACTTCACAACACATCTTACATTTTCTTATTATGCCATTTTTGTACTTAAAAGTAGGAAATCTACAGTAACACTAAGCTGTTCCATGGTGTTTTATCTAAGTATTTCAATTACTTGTTTCATCAGATGTGAACCTACCCAAAGCAAACAAGATTTTAATTTATTATTCATTATTTAAATTACAGAACTTTTCAAAAGTGACACTTTACTGTATTTCCCACTCCCTGAAAACTACAGTAAGTACAGTATTAAAAAGCAGGAAAGATGCAAACTTTTTCAAAATCTCTGTAATATATTTAAAAATACTTATGCCACTCCTTTATAGATTCAAGAGGCTAATTCTTGATTAGAGAATTTTTCATAAAATTCCAAGTCTTTTATGCTTAAAGATGGTTTTACAATCTGCAATGACTTCACAAAATGTTCCTGTTTTACAGCCGTTGCTTCAAGTCCATTCTCTTGCAATGCCAACAAAGCAGCCTTTAAAAGAAGAAAAAAAAAAAGAAAACAACAACTTAGTCCTTACCATGTTTTAAATTGCAAAGAATACTGTAAGTATTCTAAAATATTTTACAAGGAACAAAGCATTAGTTAAAGCATCTGAAAACAGCATTGTATAACTTATGGTTATTTAACAACAAATAAAGATCCAAGTAAGGTTGCCATAACTTTTTATTTAAATAATGAACCCTTGTTCAGTTCCTCTGTTTTAACCATTTCCTTTGAATTTTCAATGCAAATTGGGAAAGTACTTCTACTACAGATGGCTCAGTATCATCTATGAGTTAGCTCTCTTTTTTCATTCAAAGTTGTTATTTAGAGTTTATTTCACAGATGAGCCAGGAATATTTCTTACCTCCTTGCACAGGTTTTCAATATCAGCTCCAGAGAAGAGGTCTGTTAGGATTGCCACATCTTGTAATGACACATCAGTATCTAATGGAATTTTTTCGGTGCAGATTTTCAAAATGGAAAGTCTTCCCTGTAAATTGGTGCATATTATGGAAGAAAACAAAAGCAAACAAACCAAAAATTAATCTTTCTCCAAAGCAGTACCAAACTTGAAATTAGAGCCAAGGAAAATTCAGAAAAGCACCAAAACTACCTGGGTTTGGTGGAAGAATAAAATGCTATTAATGGAGATAATGCACTTCTGGTTGTCTCATATATTTAAGGTCTATTATTCACAGTCACTGCCTGCTTCATGAAAACACAGTATTTTAGGCTGAACAGGCCTGATTTAGCATGCTTTGGGACAACATTTTTTTGTGAAGCTCAGGACAAATAGCTACACTAGCCTTGGGAACAGTACACAAAAATTATTTGAAGCAAGGATAGACAACTTATTTTGGTATTTCCTGAATTGTAGCTTGATTTTGTAAATACACATTTTCTCTATTTTCCATATGCAATATTATAACTACCTACACCAGTTAAAATGTTATTGGTGTTTAAATTACAAATATCTTTATTACTTTTAAAGTTTTTTCATTGTACCTTGAATTTGTTGACTGATCTCCAGTGAAACAGCCATCACTTGTTAAGTATGTTGCAGGAATATGCCCCCTTTGCTCTTAAAGTATGCTGGCAATTAATATATCTCCCTTTAAAGCCTATGGTGTGTAATACCTTCAGATCTGGAGGTGGAATATAAATCATCTTGTCCAGCCTTCCAGGACGGAGCAAGGCATCATCCAACATATCTGGTCTATTTGTTGCAGCAACTACCATGAAATCTTTGTTCAAAGTTTCCTGAAACTCTAGCTGAGTAAGAGATCATGTAAACAAATCAGTGCAACATAGTTGAGATATTATCAAAAGATATTAGTTAACTACTAATGAGAAGATGGGAAGGGCAAAAAGATAATGTAATTTTACATGCAATTATTTTCCCTTCAATATTAGTATTTTATCTTTCTTGAGGTAAAAAAATGCCTTGGTGCAGGACAGATTACATGACAAAGAAGAAATACAGTTAGTATCTTCCTTGGCAATAAAGACCTTCCTTTGACCAGATTGTAATGAAGAACCTTTTATATGCAAAAAATTCAATATCCTACAATTCTGGAACTGTTTTCTTTATCATTCCCCCAGAGAGTATCATAATAAGAAAAAATTTATATACAAAAAAGCTAAATATTAAATGTTGTGAACAATTCGCTGACAAGTGAAGGTACAAGTTTGTGTTTAAATAAGTAATTGATCATAACTGTGGTGCTTTTGTATGCATCATATATGAGAAAGAGCTGCAAACGAAGTAGGAGAAATACTTAGAAAAAGTAAGCTCAGGGAGGAACTTGTTTAAGAGCAAAAATTGCACAATCTAAAAATTTACTTTAGTGTCAAGAAAAGGATTTTTGTGACAGAAGATGAATACTCAACTAGTAATGCTCATTAGCCAGTGTGGGTATTTTGGTCAAACAAAGCCTCAATGAGGAACAGTGTATGTAAAAACAATCAGCAGCCTAAATACAGTATCTTCTAAAAACTTCATAATTAATGGCAGAGTAAAACAGCTTCTTGCATGTTTTTAAGTTCAAGGATTTGAAGATTAAAATGTGAATGCCAACAACTAAAATTTTTGAAACAACTGGACAGCACTTCTCATTGTTCCTATAGAGAAAAGGGAGCATAAATACCTTTCTTTCCTCATCACTTTGCTCTTGGCACTGAGCCTCCAGCTGTAGCTTGCCTCCTCTTCTTTCTGTAACTTTCAGCCCAACCCCATCCAGCTCATTGAGAAGAACAGAAAGAACCCGCTCTGAGACACCATGGCCAGCTCTGCAGAGTGCCCGAGACCCCAAGATAGAATCAATCTCATCTAGGAATATTATTGCTGGAGTATTTGCTCTTGCTTGGCGAAAAACCTATTCAACAAATGTTAATAAAATAAAACATTAATGCATTCTATCAGGTAAGGTGAAAAAAGAATCCCATTTACATATACCCTGTAATTTATTTAACTTTAAAGGTACATTTTTAATGATTCGCAAGAGCAGCTCTGGCTTACATTTACTATTGGCAAATTCTGCTTCTTTTTTATATTCCTAAATGAAGGGAAAACAAAAGACTAGAAATACTTCTGAAGTTTAACACTGGTATAATTTTAGGGATAGACTCTCACTTTATCTACATGTGAATCCCTAAGCCAATTCTATTTTGTACTCAGATGAGAGCTCTATCATCTTTTCTACAACAAAATTTAGGTCTAACTAATACTTTACAAAAATCAAGCAAAAATAGACCGCAGAACCTTACACAAATTAAAAACTGTACCTGAGACAAAATCTTCTCTGAATCTCCAACG